ATTAGATTAGATTAGATTAGATTAGATTAGATTAGATTAGATTAGATTAGATTAGATTAGATTAGATTAGCATGTATAGGGAATCTGTGCCTTCAGTTATGAACCTTAATACATGTTTTCCTAGTAGAAGATAAGCTTTCTTGGGTGAGGAAGCCTCTTCATTGGCATCACATGACATTGTGCAAGACAAATGACAGTTTGATCAGGGTTGGTGCTGCATAAAAGCCATTTTTTCAAAGGGATCATTTCAGTTCTTTCCAGGAATAACAAGAGCAGTGCCCCCACACAGCTCTTTTCTCTCTAACTTCTCTGCTGAAGATGTTTCCTGTGAAAGTTGTAAAATACATCTAGGCCCCTTTCTTATTTAGTAGCAGTTTTTCCTCGGAGTTTTAAAACGTGTACTATAAAGGTAATTATTTGGGCATGGTGTGTTTCCAGAGCAGTTCAAGCGCAGAAGTTGGGGTGGTTTAAAAACGAGATTGTCCCTGTGACGACCACCTTCACTGATGACCAGGGCACTGAGAAAACCATCACTGTGCTGCAGGATGAAGGAATCCGGCCAAACACCTCACTGGAGGGGCTGGCCAAGCTGAAGCCGGCCTTCAAGGAGGGCGGGACTTCAACAGCTGGTAAGCCTCCGAAGGAAGAGATGAGGTTGGGCTGGCTTTGTGCCAAACTTACGTAAGTCAGTGAAATATATGCTTGCTCGCTTTCTCTAAGGGGAATAGCATCAGATCAAGAGAGGGGGATTGGAAGACCTGGGTTCAAATTCCTGTTTAGCCAAGAGCTCGCATGGTGACTTTGGGCCATGTCCTGACATCTCTCATCCCAGTTTGTCTCACAGAGTGGTGGCTGTGAGGATCAAATAAAGGGAGGCCTCACTGTATGCCATCTTGACCCCCTAGAACACGGGCCCTCCAAGGATGCCCACAGCCCTTGATAGGCTTAGATCAGTTTCCCAGAGTTGTTACAAAATTGTCCTTTTAATGGGAAAGATGATTTCCAGATTACACAATCTCGAGAGCTTGTGTACATTATTTCTAGATTGAATTAGATTTGAATATAAAAGAAATTAGAAATACAAAATTATTGGCAGTGTTCTTTTTGTGTGGAAGAGTTGGACAGGCTTTCACATAAGATTTCTATGCAGAAATCTCTTCCATCCTTGGGCCTGGATGCGTATAATGTAACTAACCCAACTGTGCTGTTCTATCAGTTTGCCTGCATCTTGCAGCTAAGTCTGCATTTGCAGTGCTGGAATCAGCGTGAAATGACTTCCCACAGGTAACTCCAGCCAAGTTAGCGACGGTGCTGCTGCGGTGCTCCTGGCCAGACGTTCTGCAGCTGCGCAACTGGGGCTTCCTGTCCTTGGGGTGCTGAAATCGTATGCTGTGGTTGGAGTCCCACCGGATGTTATGGGCATAGGGCCAGCCTATGCCATTCCAGTGGCACTGAAGAAAGCCGGTGAGGAGTGTAATCTGGGGTGGAGAGGGGAGGAGCCGAAGCCCATGCAGCTAGTCAGGTAGCCCTCCTTTTGATGGAATGGCTCCTGACAAAGAACTGGGGGGAGGGGATCATTTCCCCGATCCGTTTCAACCCACTGTTTGCTCACAGTGGCCTTTGGGGGGGGGTCTTCCTGGAGTGATTTTTATGACTGCCTAAGGGCGGCTTTGGGGCAGCGGAATGAAGGGAGGGCATTGAAACACCATTGTACGTCGCCTGTAATATCTCCCTAAAAGAGGTAGGTTTTACGTTGTTTAATTGTGTCAATCTCTAACATGCAGGTTTGACAGTGGATGATATCGATGTATTTGAAATCAACGAGGCCTTTGCTAGTCAGGTAAGATTTTTGAAGAAAAGGTTATGATGAAGATACCATAAAATAAAGATGTCCCTAATTGTGAACAAGGGCGAGAGAGATTTCAGCTGCCCTGGAGTCTGCTCTGCCTATCCATGTGAGGCTGACTGCATCTGTAAAAGAGGACCCTGAGGCTCCAAGGCTATTTACTGGCTCCCTAAATATCACATTTCACCAAGCCAAGATTGTCCTGGCCCTGCCCACATTTTTGGGAACGTGGCCTCTGAAGTCTCCCAATGCAGCAGGTGCCCCTCATTCCACCCAAAGTGGCGTTACGTGTCTGCATGGTTGCGTGTGCCAAACCTCCTGCCTCTCATTGGCCCCATTCTTTCTTCTCCCCTCTGCATCTCACTACCAAGATGTCCATTTTTCCTAATCTCCCTTGCTTACATTGCACTGTGCCAGATATAACTGGGTATATTTCAAATCCTTTCAACAGATGGAGTTTCAGTATTGCATGGCCTCAGTAGATGTATACTGATGCATGTATGGGCAGAGATAGAGTTGTTACAAAATGTGGAAATCTTGATTAAAAAAAAACTGAAAGAGTTAAGGGAGAGGCCACTTATTCCAGCTGTTTGTTCCAACTGAGACCTCCAGTGAAATTGATTCCTCAAAAAGTTCTTGATTGTGTCATTTTCCAGGCTGTCTACTGTGTGGAGAAACTTAGCATCCCCATGGAGAAGGTGAATCCTCTGGGCGGCGCCATCGCTTTGGGACATCCTCTGGGCTGCACCGGGGCTCGGCAAGTTGTCACTTTGCTCAATGAGCTGAAGCGCAGGGGGAAGAGGTGAGCGCGGAAGGCATGAGCTGCGCATTGAATACGTGGCTCATGCTTGTTGCTTTTAAAGTGTGCCACATCCAGTACGCCAAAGGAATTTCTCAACCTGTTCGGGAGGTCTGACTTGTAAAACCTGATCTCCTGCAAGCTCTAACTTGTGTAAACAAAAGTGAGGAGATACTGGATACCTTGTTGTATCTCTGCTTTAAATTTTATTGACCTTGAAACTCTCACTTAGGGTAGCTTTTCATTTGTGTTGCTTTAGCCAGTAGCCCTCTGTTCTAAGGTCTTCTCTCTCCCAGAATCCTTTTGTGTCTCCCAAGCTTCTGGTCCCCGAGACCCTCTGCCTAGAGAGCTTAGCCCTAATGCGCCCTCTTGTTCCAGAGGCTATGGCGTGGTCTCAATGTGCATTGGGACCGGGATGGGAGCGGCTGCCGTATTTGAATATCCAGGGAAGTGAACAGAACTTCGGCCCGTTTGTGCGACCTGCTCTCAAGGCTTGGAAAGTGACCGGTGATCCAACCCGATGTGCAACTGGCTTTATGAACGTTAGAAGCGTACCGTCCACGGTGGACAGAGCTTTCAAATCCAGTGCCCCGGGAATGAATTTGGGAATGAGATGGAGCAAGGACCTAGGCTGCTCGTCGTTAAGAAAACAATGAAAATGGGTCCTCTTGCAGGTCACTTATGGATTAATCACTCAGGTGTAAGGGCTCTACCAGCCAATGGAGGTGGGTTGGGGTTGGTGTAGGGGAAGTAGGGGTGCTTCAGGAACGTGACTGATCGGCAGTCTGAAATAGATTGCCTTATCAGCAGTGCTGGGATTAACGTGCAATTGGAATGAGTTTTTTTCTTCTTTTTTTTCCCAGAATCCTTACTTCGGTGAGGATCCTTAAAGTAGTCAGGGGACTGCTTTGGGGGGAAAATAACAACCACTATTAGAAGCAGCTAGGAAATGGGGCACAAGTGCATTTGGGAACAATAAAAATTATGGCACAGCATTCATTGCCTTTCTGGGAGCAGGGCGCACTGTTGCATCTTGCCCTCCCAGTTGGGCTCCATTTTCAAAGTTTTCTAGGGGCTCATAAGCCGCTATTGCTGGTTTGATTTTTTTTTTCCTTAAGGCGCCTTTAGTTCATCCCACATCATTTTTAAAGATGAACTGGGACCAGGTACGTTCTTTTAAAAATATTACTGTTGCCATGAATGAACAGGAACAAAATTGCCACCAACTGACTTCTAAATCCTTAAAAGGAAAAGCAGCTTAAGAAGCAGGTTGGAAATCACATGATTCAGCTGCAGTCTTAGCGAGAAATAGTTCATATTTGCTTTGCTGGTGGTCTAAGGAGCTAAACCAATTCTTAAAGATGTTTTAATCAACTAATTAAATTTCTGTCAATGGATTAAATTACATTAATGAAGCCTCTGAATGGTTCTGAGTCATTTAATTACTAGAAAGCCATTCTTTCTAACATAGAATGGTGTTTGGTGCCAAGTTAGATGTTAAAATACTTAATGCTCTGGCTTTCTCTTTCTTGCTACGTCTGCATGAAAGCAGCAGAATCCAGATGCCCCTGACATGCATCCCTTCCGACTAAAATGGGTTATGTGTGAATAACTGAATAAGGGCATCCGGTTTAGTTTGAAATCCAACATTCTTTTCCTGTGAAAAATTACATTACTGCTTTGAATGATATATGGACTTGGGAATCAACTTAAAAGGCCCTTTCAAAAAAGCCTGGGTTTACTTCAAAACACAAGCCAAGCTTCCTTTGTTCGGTTTTAGCTTGGTGCATTATAGGAAATTAAACCATAAGCCTGGCATATGGCTTTATTTGTTGGGACAAACCAGAATTTGTGATTTATTCAGTAAACCACGGTTAAGGAAATAATATGGCAGCATATTATGTGAACCTAGTTATGACACAGTTAAGTGTCTCAAAGGCTTCCAAGGTAGCTGGGTTATCTCTAGGGCCACCCCATGGCAAAGACTTCCTAGTCAAGGCGCAGTTCAGCTTTAGCCATGTACACGCAGAAGCAAGGCCCTTTTCTGAGAAGCCAGTGATAGAAATATTTTAATTTTCTCTAATATTACAAAAACTAGCTACCTTTAAGCTGCTTGCAGCAAGGCCCCCATGGCTTGTTCTTCAGCTGACCTTGAGCATTTCTTCATACTTTTCATCATACGAGCCCTTTCCTCGGATATGGAGCAGGTGTGGCTTCTCCCCCAACATGCCTACAACCGTCACGGTGGTTTCATAGGCCACATTGTCTCTATTAAAGGAGAGAAGGGTAAGAGGTGAGTCCTCCCTTTGACAAAAGCCATGAAAGGGCTCTCTTACATGTGACACGAAACTGCAAAGAGGCGAGGGTTCTCTGAGGTGCTGCCCTGTCATCCATGCCTCTCAGTCCAAAGCAGCTTGAGGACCTGCGTGGCTGAAGTGGCATGTCTGTATTTCAGTAGTGAAAATTTGCTGTCTACACTGACTGTAGCACACTGCAGAAGAGGAAATGAAGAAAACAGACTACAGAGCTCTGCCTGCCCCAAGGCTTCTGGAAGAGGCAGGGGCAAGCTCCCTGGTTTGGGAGCTCAATTCACTCAAGATCCTAGAGTTGAAAGGAGCCCCTGAGACCATCAAGTCTAACTCAGTGCAGAGTCCAGGCAGATGGCCCTCTAGATGTCCTCAAACATCTGCTGTTTCTTCAGAAGCACAAGCCTTCCATCATACCTGGTTATTTAGTTTCCCTTCATGGGCACTGATTCTTACTGCTCCTTTCAAGCCTATCAGACATAATCCCACTGGCAAGGCCATTTTAACCTTGGCTAGGAGGGTCAGGGATCCAGGTGCTCTGCATGAGAGGGAATCTATACATACCCCATCAAGAAGGGATTTGCTAAGGCTGGGTGGCTGCTTTGTGCCCGAGGTCAATTCCAAATGCCACCAAGCAGAAGGAATGGTTTCTGCCTAGACCTTTTCTTCTCACCCTAGAGAACAAACCTGGTACAAGGTAGATGTGTGTGGGGCACTAAGAATACACTTCAAACTAAAGGGGCAGAAGGCCAAGACCCTACTGGTTTCCTACAAAACAGGAGATCATAAGAATCAAGTTGCACAATCTGCCATCAGCTGGTGGGCCACGGAATGTGTTGCTCTGGCACACTTGGGGAGTAAGAAACAGCTGGACTTGGAAGGATGGAACTCAATGGAAGGCCCTGTTCAATTTCCAGGTGTAAAGCTAGGTCAGGCTGAGTTCAGAAATCCAATTGGGCCTTGGGACAGGAGAAT